CTTTTTGTTATATCGAAATCCACACAAAAAATCTGCATTGTATTTTTTAATTCCAGCTATCCAAGTACCCTTTTTGGTTGAATTAAGGCAACTAGCGGTATCGTAACCTCGCTCTCTGGTTTAAATTCGAATCAAATGGTTGTTACAAGGTTACCCAATACCTTTTTGGCATTTCTGAGCATTCTTTAAGTGATATAGGGTGCTAGACCTGTTATCATTTTACCAAACCTTAAAATAAAAGATCAACAATATCCAGTACGTCTTTTATTTGCTAGTTTGCGCTTCGTCCAGTTTTGTATAACAAATGGTACTGCAAACATGGCCACAAAATTTTGGCATCAGCTTAAGGGTCATGCTATCAATAAATCCTTCGTTTTATTGCGGCATCAATTTTTTCAGTTACCCAATTCGTCTAAAATCGACAGCCTTTTACATTGTCATAGTAACACATAAAAGGATATGGTGTCGCCAACTCCAGTGAAAAGAACAACAACTAATCGAAAATCATTTCGTCTTCCGTCAGTTATCCTCCAGATAATTAAAACAAATTGTCATTTCTTAGTGTATGCATGCATTCGCCATGACACTGCGTCTGTTTTTACGGATAAGAGTAACCTGGCAGTAGACACCCACTCAGTAGCCTTCTTCCTGAGTTGCGTCGTTAGCGCATCTGCGACACTCACTGCTCCGCACTTCCCTCCCTCCTCCACGATTCGCCTTCACTTGGCTACATAACAGGCACTTCAGTTTTGTTTTGGTCTACGAATCAGGTCAATAGGCACAGTTCCCCATAAGGCAGCACTGTTTTTTGCAACGAAATGTGTTACGTTGGCGAGCAAATTGTTATTTTGAATACTGTGCCAGCGGTGTGTTCACAACAGTTAACTTTTGAGTTATGTCTTCCAATAGCATGTTTCCAAAGTTAAAGAAACAAAACATGACTAGAAAAAAGGAGATGAATTACAACTTCAAACACTTGCTTTATCCATGGTAAAAGTTTCTCCAGCAACCACCAACATGGTCCAAAATCAGATAATTACGATGTGATAACCGTCACCTGATCACTTCCATAGTTCCATTTTACTCAAGTTAGTTCTGGTAGTCTCGTTCCACAATCACCACCAAAGCAGTAGTGGCCTGTGCCTACTCTTCTACTTTACTTAATTTTAATTTTAATCTGAGTGCAAATTACGTGAATAATGTGAAATTGCGTTTATGACTACCTTTTTGAGTAATTCCCATTATCCACTAAGCTGTAGTGATTTATAAATGGCGTCAATTCAGTCTAATCTTTCAGGGCTTGCTTTGGTTGGCCGGATGGAGGGCAAGATAGCCTGTCGCCTGGTTCGATAACAGATGCGCAACCATTATGTGTTTTAAAATTTGAATTTCACTCATTGTACACCCAAGCCAGGCAATTTGGAGTAAGCGGAATCCAAGTCTCTTAGCGACTTTTATAGGATAGAAGTAGACACGACCCTGGAAAGCCAACAAAATCTACACGATTTCTTCTAACGCGTCAGTTGACTTTGCAATAATTTAGCAAATTAATTAGCAAGCTTTTGCTTTTCATAAAGCAGGGGTTTATTTTATGGATGTTTAATCTTTTAAAAAGTGAGACCTTCGAAATTGGTTTATGTTAATTGAGCTATGTAACATTGTATGTCCAGAATATTTGTTATAATTTAAAGTACGAGCCATAAATCAAGCTCAGTTTAAAGCGTTTGGCAAGCCAATTTGTACCCTAATAAAGCCGAAGAATTTTGTTTTGAACCTTTTCGCATTAACCTCAAGTAGTTAAAGTACCAGACGAAATTAAATCGAGCTGAAAGTGTTATAGGGCACAGACGAAGGAATATAATTTGTGTGCAAACGCAGAAAATAGCACTTGTTCATAGGGGCACTGATTAGATGCTAATAGCATGCGGTTCCTGTTATTGCTAATATAGATGCAAGTAAAACGAAAATTAACCTCTGGGAGAAGTAGCTCTCCCAACCAAACCTAACTGAAACTGTTGGCAACAAAACTACGGCTTTGAACAATATTTCTTTTTTTAAACGAAACTACACAAAACCGTGATAAACAACTTTAACGGACCGTAACAAGGTTGTCTATGGGAATTGTGACAGCCCAGTACAGACGGTAGGGTTTGAAGCAACATTGCGGCCACTCAACTGCTGGTGAAATAAAGAATATTTTAGGCAATTAACAGCACAATATCCTTTTCCCAGCACACTACCAAAGTCACTCCGGCTTGACCAAACGAAACCTAACTAGACAGCAATTCGTTACACTTGGATTTCTCTGATGTAAATGATTTTTCCCATGAAATACGCAAAAGAGTTTGCATTTATTTTGAAATTCCTCCTGTTTTTTTTTTGATAGAGATAGTCATTTACCCGAAAATTCCTACTTTTAATTCAGCGTTCGCGTTTTCTCTTATTGCAAATTGAGCTACTGCGAAAAACCATCTATTAAACCACATTAAGGAGTTTTCAGTGTAGTTGCACAGCACGATTTAAGTAAGAGGGTAATCTTGCACAGAAAATCTGTGTATGGATGCTGATTAAGCCGTTTTAGAAGTAAAACCACGAAGAATGCTCAACTAATTCACGAAAACATCATGGAAACGGCTGATGGATGTGGGATTGTGGAAAACTGCCATAGATGGTATGATAGATACACTTAACAGAGATTACACCAGGCTGTGGCTTTTACAAAAAAACAACAGGTAGAGCATTGTTGAAGACAAACAGTTGCTTGTATACACGGAATTGTCAACAAGTTTTGTTCTCAATCCAGGCCAAATAATTTATTGAATGTGAGTATTTTTGTGCTAATCTTACCCATTGGTTTTGAGGTATTTCCATTGAGTTTACGGGGCTTACGTCACCCCACTACTAGTAATAATAATTTAAATAAATTGGGTTCATTAGGTAGCAGCAGTTTGCATAAGCAAGGTTTTTGCGTTTCTAAAATGGCCAGAGTGGAATTCGCATATTGATTCATTAAGAGCTTATCTCCATGTTCCCTTTCGATATAGAATTTTACAATCATTATTTTCATTAACGCCAGCCTACACTGCAGGTTAGGATGCGATCCATTCAAACAGCGGCAGTATTCGACGAAACCATGAACGGTTTTCTTGTGAGCAAACATTTTTGCGTTGGTGTTTGCGGAGAGCACTTACAGGATGAATCGCGTTCAACTGTTCTTTTTTCTGCGCCACTTGGAGGACGCTTAAGTGCCTTATACTGGCTGTCTTTCAGCTTATTCTTAGTCGGAATTGACAAAGTATTGATAATAGCCTCAATATTCGTGCAAATCCCACTACAACCATGACCTTACAGAAACATCAGCGTTTTTGAAATTTTGAGGTTATCCGATTGTTGTTGTCGGCTACCTTTAAATGGGGTGAAAATTTTCGAAAGGGCTAGGTTTTGTTCCTACGCTTCTTAATTAAGTTAATTTGGACAGAGTCGGAAGTAAGCACCTTCACGTAACGCATAGCCCTGTGGTTATTTGCCTGATTACGTGTCACAAAGGCTTTGGACACCACAATACAAGCGTCAGCAAGTGATTGCCAAGCAAGCTTAACGCCGAATGAACTGTTGATTGCTCAAAGTCGTGAACAGCAATACACCAATTAACAACACTGTGTGTGCGTAAGCAGGCTAATAGGATCATGACCTCGATCACTGCTTAGTGGCGCACCAAGTTACCTAACACAGTAGCAATAATTGTAGGAAAAGGGATATGGTTTGGTCTGTACACTCGAATACCTATTTCTCCACCCCTGTGGGGTGTAGGCCCTCAAGGGCACAAAGTACATAAGTGTGAATTAACAGTCCTTATCACCATTTGACTGTGCTGAAAGACTTTTCCTTCCGCATTCACAATAGTGGCTGCCATTTCAGTCAGTAGTATCAAACTAGATTATAAAGGTTTGCACCTCATTCAAAACCACATGCCGTGTAATTCTGCCGACAATACGTTGAAGAAATTATGCAGTTCGTAATGATTGAAAAGTTGATTTAATCTCCCTCAAACACGTCCTCTGTGATTTTATCAACCACCCTCAAAACATGTTTATTTTATTTAATGATCAAATTAGTTTATTCAAACCCTGTAAAGCTTACCCAAAGAGACTTTAATTATCAAAGACTCAAATTTGTCATGCTTGTGGTCAACCATGTGCTTCAAGTATACATCAAGGTCGCGACCGTCGTAAACATTCATTAAATAGGCATGTGATGATATTGGCCTGTCAGTAAGGCTTTAATTTCAAACTCCAGTTCTTTATTGAACACCTAAAGAAGGGACATCACACGCTACTCAATTGATAATAAATTGTCATTCCAAATCGAATTTCTGAGAGATCTCCTCAGACAAACAGCCGCCGCATCACAATGTGAAGATAACTTTAAAAAATACTTTAGGCGCAACGGTTCAAATCAGATAGGGCCCAAACGCGATTGGTTGAAAGGAGGGATGCTCACTTGTACGAAACCGAGTATTCATGAATGCATGCTAAAACCTTATTGTCTATCAAAACACATGAACAAGTTCGGCTGTCATTGCTGACTAAAATGATCGTGGTAAAGTAAAAAGATACTTTCGCATCTAATTCGTTTTACATAAAACCTCCCATGGTCTTTTTAATGAAGGTAAAGCAAATTCAGTAGCGGTGTGTGGACAAAGGTAGTGCTAGCTGCCTATCCTCTGGGTAGCAGTTACAAGCAAAATTTCGAAGAATGGTTTCATTACGTTTGCCCGTAACCAAGAAAAACTCCACTCATATAAATGGTACCAGATCCTTTGTCTGACCTTAGAACCGACCCTTTTACGCTAATGCAAAACAGGACCAGAGCTCGTGCAGAGAGCTTCGATCGTCTCAGCCAAAAGGCGAGTGATCCGTCATAAAGTGAACACTTATGTAAGTCAAGAGTGACCTTGACTTAATTGATGAAAACGGATTAACATAGAAGTCAGGGAATTGATGCAAATAATACCGAAAGCAGCGATGAGCCATCTTGGAGAATCCTGGATCTCCAACACCTCTTCTTTGGGTTTCGTCGTTTCGGACTACTCCGTCTTGGGCTTGACGATTGGTCTGCTGCTAATCGATCTCTCTCCAGTTTCACTTGCTCTACTTTCGGCGTCGGCAGCTAGAAAATGTCGAACAACACAAGCCCTGGCGTTGGTTTGGCGATTCGATGCCGCAGATCCTTTTCTCCATCGGAGCTGGTTGCGATGCCTTGACCACGTGGTCACGTGTCGTAACCCACCGTCACGTCAAGCATGACCTTTTCGTGTCGGCGTCCAGTCGTCCCCTCGACCCATGGGTCGCGTTTTGGACGATAGTCTCGAACGTACACAGTTGTTCCGATCTCCAATGGCGTGGTAGATTTCATACTCAAAGGCTCCAGGCGGTTGTCTTGTAACGAAATCATGGCGGAATTTGTCGTCGGCGATTAGCGACTCATGAATGCCTTGGGTGATGACTACCGATTTGGAAGCACCTCGTTTGGTGTTGTACTATACAACAGCGGGAAATTCTGTAGGCTGTGGACTGATGTCGTTCCTTCCTCGCGGGATTTTAGCATGACCCGCTTTAATTTGTCGACAAGCCATTCCGTCTGTCCATTTGACTGTAGGTGGTAGGGTGGGGAACACATATAGTTAAATACAAATTGTCGGCAGAATTCCCTGAATTGTTGCTATGTAAACTGTGAGCCATTGTCAGAGACTCATTATGGCTAAAGATTTAGGACAAAGCCTTTAATGTAATTGTTGTTGTGGGGGACGTCAGTTGGATGATCCCCGGCCATTTTGAGTAGACTCCGTTGAGCGTTCCCGCAATGTCGATATGGGTGCGTGACCGGGGTTTGTGTGGTTGTGGTCAAGGGGCTGAAGGAACCTTGGGAGGATTCTTGGCGGCCTACTGGCACTCTTGACTAGATCTGTGATTTGCTGATCCATATTTGGTCAGTAGGCGTAGCTGCGGGCGATAGACTTCATGCGACCGATGCCGGGATGGCCAGTATGAAATTGACGAAGAACCCGCAAGCGTAGTGATTTGGGCACCACAACGCGTTCTCCGAACATCAAGTAGCCGTCTATAACGCAGAGGGAATCGCGTCGCTGGAATTACTGCTGAAGATCTCCAGTGGAGGAGCGCTTTGGCCACTTGCCTTGGACGTAAAGAATGGCCTGCCGTAGTGTGTTGTCCGAGGCCATTTCTCGTTGGATGTCGAGAATCGAAACCGGCAGTGAACGAACTGTTTCAGACAGCTGTTGTGTGATACCTTCGTCGACGTAGATGGCAGCAATGACGGCATTTTCCTTGGTGGTGGGCTGGTTACTGATGAGCCGTGATAGGCCGTCTGCCTGCTCGAAGTCCTCTGTGCGACGGTACAGGATTTCAAAGTTACAACCCAGTTCGATAAATGCCCATTTTTGTAGGCAATTTGCAAAGTGAGCTGGAATGCCCGTTTTTGATCCAAAATTTACAGTCGAGGCTTGTGGTCTGTCGGTAGAGTGAATCATCGGTTATAAATGAGCTTGTGGAAACGGCGGACAGTGAACACCAAAGCAAAAGCTTCTTTCTCAACCTGTCCGTACCTCTGTTCCGTCATTGTCAGCGACCTTGATGCATGCTTTATGGACTGTTCTGGATTCTCAACAAGTTTTGACAGAAGTCGTTTTGTGCGTTTGGAAAGGTAAACACGGCAATCCTTCTCCCACTTATTCGTGACCTTGTAACCACTCCAAGCAAGTGTACGTCTACGATTTTTGCAATCTATCCAAGGATGTCTGATGGTAGCAAAAATCATTACTTTGATCAGCAGCGCAAGTAATCTGGCGTCAAATCCAACGCTAGCCCTGTTGTCACATTCATTTCAGTGATTTGACTTAAGTAAAAAGGAGGCAGTAAGACTTTCTTAACCAGGTAAAATTCTTTGTTCATGAAACCGGCACCAAACCTTAGGCGAAGGCTACAAAATGGAAATTCTAAAAATGCTTTCTGCTGGATGAAAATAGAACAGCTCTGCTGAGGAGGCGAATGGAATTTCTCAATTTAGTTGTGTTTCCTGTTTCCAGAACATCTGCTAAACAGCGCGTTGTCAGGCGCCATCCACGTCAAAATAAGGCAGCTTGTCTTCCCAACTTTTTATTCTCACAATCCAATCCCGTAAATTGCGTTAATGATAACACTTCTGTCGACACACTCAGGATTAGGCACAGTGGACATTTAGTGGCCGTGTGACTCTAGGTATATGAGTTGGAAAAATTACTTAAACTTGAGTTGCTTAGTGTTGTCAGAAAGAAGAGACTGCGTACAAAGCATGTATCATTGCACGTAATGTAACTAACAGTAGCGCTTAAGCCTTGACGGGCAGACTCGCCGGAATAAAAAGGTAAACGAAGAAAATCTGGAATTTAATGCATGTGTACGTGATATCCTAGAAATGGTGCATTGCGCCAGTAAACAGCGTAAACAGTGAATGTCAAACAGTAAATTTATCCAAAAACCTGGAAGTCAGTATGGTAGAACAAAGAGTTACACGGAACTAACATGATAAATGTTACACACAACGATTTTCATCCTTGCTTTGTCGGAGCCAGCGAATATCGCTAGTTAAAACAGTTGCTGAAAAGCATTTGAAAGCTTGTGACACTTTTCCCGCAGACCATGAAGTGAGTCATGTCATGCCGATAGCACTGTCAGTTTGTTAATCAGGGTTACTTGTTGGTGAATGTGTCAATAACGAAAAGGTATAACTTAGGTGTGATTTATACCATCCTATTCATACACCTTAACACGAAGGTACATATCCCCACGCACATAAACGAACCGAAACCTGCTGCTTTGCCATCAAACTATAGGCCTGTTGACATCGGACGCCGTGCGCACAAGCACGTGGAAAGCGAAGGCTTTGGTGTGTGTGATGCGTTCACCATCGCTGCCACCCCTCTCCCCCTATTGAATGCGAGTGCGTGTGCGTCCTCCCATTGGTAAACTGCTAACAGACCATGTGCGTATCGGCCGTGGTCGATAAACTCTGCTTGCGTGCAAACGTGCTTCCCGGGTTGAACGCGAGCACGGCGCACGCAAAGAGTGGACGAGCTTCTCCTTCAAGGCGCGCAGGCACGCGCATACGACGCACCGCACGCCGACTCAATCAGTCGCGCGTACGCTCACTCATAGGAGGCGCCATAGTTATAATCAGGTCCCAGAAGCGACTCTACGTTGACTGAGCTGACCTGTGCGTGTAACTACGCCCCTATTTCCCAGTTAAACTGACACCCCACTGGCGACTCCTATTCATGCTTAATTCGATATTTAAACAGGTGTGAGCAACCGAACACTTCAGCTGCTGTAGGATTTAAATTGCACGCGCTCGAGAACCATACATACTTGTTTTAGGACTCATCGCAAACGGGTGAGTGAAGGGGATCTGTGGTATTTGTCCTATTTCATTACCTGAGTGTTTACTAAATTTACTGGGTTGGAAATAAACAGGGAAGGCAGAATAAACGTTTTCGCCCATATCTGCATCTATGATAAATTTGCCCCAATGTCCACTTTCGAAAGTCCCATTAATTTCCTACCGTGTCCGATTTAGCTGATAATTAATCCACACTGGAATTTGTTCGTACAGGCAAAAAAGGCGTTTCACCCTGGTTTTTACGTGTGGTTTCGACTTAGCAAATGAACGCACGATTGAGGATGGAATGAATGCCCTTAAATGATAAAGACGTTATTGAATTGATTCGAAACGATAAAACTTCAAGAAAATTGAATATGTGCCTGATTTGCGTTTCATCATCAGCAGCAATATACTAAGGGTCTCAGCTTCACACTTTGACGGGCTGTGTAATGCCATCAAATCCTGATTGCTAGTTTTCTTGGCAGTAAGACAGTTTTTTGTAATTTTACCTAAATTGTGACTCCTGCTTCCATTGTGTGACATGGCAGTTTAAGTCTCTTGCATCACCAGTGGGATTTTGAGTTAATCTCCAACCCTCGGAATAGCACGCACAAGCCACAACTTCCTTCTTCTTAGTCCTAATTAATTCTTTTGTCACTGCTGCCTCGAGGGGGCGATTAGGTCATTCAAGTATTTCCTCGGGGGCTTTGTCCTTCCATTTTTGCAGTGCTGATGGGCGACGGACAAATATACCCCAAATAGCCTCAAAGCTTTGAAGACTTTTCAGTTAAAATTGAGATTGATAGAGGTGGTTAGTTTATAAAAAACAATTTTTTTCAGGAATGCAAGAAGTATCATTTTCATGGTTTTCCCAAGTGTATTTTTGCTGACAAACTTCAAAACTTCTAGGGTTTGCACACAGAATAAACGTATACTCACATCCACGTTCACCAATTCCCTCTAATTTGCATCCAAATGGACGCCTACCCTGCTGTCTATCGTGTTTCCTGCCTAAATACTTGTTTAAGACATCAATTTACTCACAATAATCAGGTGAAAATCTGACTTAAAGGTTCTTCACTGACCACAGATTTGTTCGTTACACCATATTGGTGTGATAATTTTCATTTGTTACACGTCGCCCCTTTGTAATATCAAGGTAACTACCCTTCTCAATCAATTTCCAATCGCTTGTGCAGGTTGGCCACAATTAAGTCACTGCCATCTGCCGGATATTTTTTCTCAGAATCTGTAATGGAATGAGTAATGGGAAGCTACAGTAGAGGGATATGAACTAAAGAGCAGGTATTCTGTTTATGCGGTGTCTGCATGCTGTACCGCTGAAATCTCCGGGAATAATGGCTATTTTCCCGGAATTTGTGTTCAAACTGTAGAACTATGCAAATGTATTATGACGTGTGAGCTACTGACCTTACATGATCAGCGAGTATCGAACTGCCATCCTAGACGTGCGGCAACTCAAAGAAATCCGATTGGTTTCCCAAAAAGCGGATGAATTTTTCTTTAATTCGCATCTCCGATCTTTGGAATTTGTCTATCCCTAATGGGTGATTATGTGAACATTTGCGACGACACCGATATTTACTCCTGCAAACGCGGATCTGAGACTATAATTGATTTAGCAGGCGTCCGGGTAGTGCGCTGCGATTCCGTTCGAACGTGACTTGCCCAACTCAAACGGCACAAACAAGGCCGCGTCGGCAGTTCTGTGGAAGTTTGTCTAAACTTTTTCTGTTCCTCGTTCACCGATTTTTCGCACGACGAAACAGCGTTGCGTGATTCCTTTATGCGCCAAAGGCCCGGGCAAACGCGTTGGTGTTCCACAGGACGCTGAGCTGTTTCTGTAAAA